CGGGGGGGGGGGGGGGGGGGGGAGCTCACCACCTCCCCAGGCAGCTTATTCCACTGTTGCACAACTCTTACTGTGAAAATGTTTTTCCTACTATTTTCCTACTACCTTCCCACCCTTAATTTAAACCCATGATTGTGAGTCCTCTCCTCTGCTGCCAACAGGAACAGCTCCCTGCCCTCCTCTAACTGAAAGCCCTTCAAATACTTGAAGAGAGCAATCCTGTCCCCCCCTCAGCCTCCTCTTCTCCAGACTCAACATCCCAAGCCCCTCAGCCTTTCCTTATAGGGCTTGGCCGCCAGGCCCCTTAATTTCCTTGTCACTCTCCCCTACACCCATTTTGTATGCTTGTTTTCTGGTGTTTCTTTCCCTGTGAACTGGAAACGGGCAAGGTGAGATGCAGATTGTCTGGATAGCAGACTGTACCAAACAGCCAGCCGGGGTGGTGTAGCAGCGAGAGTGTCACACTAGGATCTGGGAGACCCAGGTCTGAATCCCTGGTCTGCCATGGAAGCTTGCTGGTTGACCTTGGTAAAGTCCCACAGAGCCCATCTAATCTACCTCACAAGGTTGTTGTGAGAATAAAACAGAACCAGAGACTGGTGTGAGCCTATCTGGGTCACCACTGGGGAGAAAGGTAGGGTATAAAAGAATATATATCAATATAGCCAGGGTGGGGGGTCAGATAAAAAGGTAGGTCAGTTGGTGGGTGGAAAGGAGAGAAAGGAACTCTGGGAAAGTGAGAATATGGGGGTTAGCAAAAGGAAAGGAAAAAGGACACAGTGTGGGGGGAGGTGGGATACAGGGGAAAGCGAGGTGACTGCCACGAGTGTTCTTGCAAATTATCTACTGTGCAACTGGCCCTAGCAGCTGCCACTGCACCACTGGGCCATGATTCTCAAGTAGAAGCAGAAGCTGCAAGGGGGAGGGAAGGAAGGAAAGCTGGAAATGGGTTGGCTGGTGGGCAGGAAGGAGAGAAAAAGCCAAGAAAGGGGGAAAGGTTATGGGGCTTCCAGGGGAGGCGAAGAGGAAACAGCGAGGGAAGGGAAAACAAGATGCTCCCTGCAAATCCTTGCGGGTCCCCTGCTCGTCCAATCAAAAGCTGGGCATGTTTGAGATGTTTGGAAAGGCAGAACAAGGAATTTAGCAATTCCTGAAGGGAATATTAGAAGGATTAACAATTCCAGATTCTCTCATTGGGATTTACTCCTGATTATATGTGCACCAAGTCACATATAACGTGTTTTGATGGTGAGAACTGGAAGCCCCGTTAACACTATATGTCGTGGGGAACAATTGGAAATCCACGTGTTAAATAATGGCATCCTGAACGGCCAGGGGAGCTGCTCTCCCAGGGAAGACTGAAGGAAACCAAAACCTGCAAAGATCACCCCACACACAGGCACGTAAAGCTACACAAGGAATGTGTACACAAGCTACATTTAGGGAATGTTGCTTATTTCACACCCAGACTAAGATACCCAGCTCTGAGCTAGTAATAACCACAGAGTTCGAAGGGGCCATACAGGCCATCTAAACCCCAACCCCCTGCTCAATGCAGGATCATCTTAGAGCATCCCGACAAGTGTTTGTCCAGATATTTTTGTCTCTCTCTTTGCGGCAGAAACTATGGCGAATCACACTGGCTTCAGGTCTTGGCCACATTCATCTGGGCAACAGAAACCCCCCTAGGCATCCAAAACACCTGCCTCCCAAAAATACTGAACAGCAAATTGAGTGTACACCATTATTACGGCACAGTTCCTCACACTGACGGAAGGAGGTGCAAAGAATCTAAGAGGTCACACAGCTTATACTCTCAGGTTTACAAGAACAGGATGGCCACGCACTGACCCCGGCCACGTCTTACCTTTCGTAACATACAAATAGAAGAAGTCACAGTACAGAATAGTCTGAACCACGCCAGCCACCACGGCTATGAGATCAAAGAATCCCTCAAAGTAGTAGCGCCAAATCCAGTTGATGAGGTACAAGGCACGGTACAGGCCCAAGAAGAAAAGGTAGTGGGTGGTGATGGTCTCCGCTTCCCCGGTTTTACTGATCATGAAAAGTTGAGGGAGGATAGCAACGGACTCCAGGTAGATGGAGAAGGTCCACAAGATCTGCAAGGAAAGAGGCAGGAGAGATGCTGAAGCTGCACCATCGGCAGTCAGACCACTGGTCCACATACCCCAGTATTAACTTGGACCAACATCAGATCTTTGAGGCCTGCTACCCAAGTCCTCTTAATGGGTTCACGCAATCATCTTTCACCCCCATACAAGTAAATCAGCTCTCAAAGAAGCTCATCTTTGCACTCATTTGCAATGAACTTGCAATCTCTGAAGGGGATGCATTAGCTAAAAAATGAAGAAAACGAACTCTCCCCAATTACAGTCTTCTCAGGGAAGAGCCCGTGACCCTGAAAGCTTTCTTAAAGCACTCACTGCCAAAAGGCTGCTAAGGAGATTCAAAGTACTCAGCGCTAGTGATGTTTTTGCCATTTGGCATCCAGCAACCTGATACATTCACTATGTCAAAAATAGCCAAGTGTCAGCTACGATCCTCACAATTTCTAGGAAAAAAACCGTAACATTATAGCAGGATTTGTCATCCAAACTGTGATTTGTTCTCTTGCCTCCAGATCAGGATTCCACAGTGCAACTCCATCCTTGGAGGCAAGGGAACCAAGCTACAGTTTGCAACCCCTGATGTAACACCAAGCTGCAGTTTTCCGTTAATGCGGAGGTGACTGATAGTCAAAGGACATGTAAAAAACCACGAGGAGGCAGGAGGTTCCCAAAGCCCATTCTTGTAATAACCACTGGGCTGGAGCCTCTTGTTTCTAACGCTGGTGCATTTTACAAGCCATAAGAAGCCTTCTCTTGTTGCAAAAGGCTCCTTGCCCTGGAATTAAGGCAGGGGAACCGATCTGGCGGGATCCAACCCAATGCACCTTAATGCAGCTCCTGACTACTGAGAATCCTGAAACGCCTTCAGAGAAAGGCTGAGAAGGGATTGGCAATCACAGGCCTCCTTTTCTATGCATTGTTTTTATCTCTGCTGATCTGGCCTTTTAGCAGATAGCACTCCCTAGTGGTTCAAAATGGGAGAAGGAGGGACAACTCTCTCTTCAGGGGCTGAAACCAGGACCGTAGCCAGGATTTTTCGCTTTGTGGGGCAAATTTTTTTCTTGTGGGGCACCCATTATGTTTATACTTAAAAACAGGGGTCATTTCATAGAAAAAGAGGTGCAGGAGTTCATTAGCATAATTCATTAACATAACATATTTGCATATGCCACATACCCTGACATCACCGGAAGTGTGTCAGAAGGCAACACCCACCGCTCAGGCTCCACTGGACTGTTTTGGATTGATAGCTGGG